AAAAAAAATCTATATAATCTGAACCACCCTGAGTCTAAAATAGTTTGTCAAGGCAATTTCGAAAAAAAAAATATTTTTTTTTATATTTGAATGTTATAACTTCGGATCTTAGAGTATGATATATCGATTTCTTTTGTTCCAAAGTTCACTATCCTCAAGAACCCCTCTAGTACTTATCAACCAGATCTCAGTTCTTGCCATCCTAACGCAGCATCCTAAAGCCGGTAAAATAATACTCACCAAAAATCAGTAAACTTCTTCTAAAGTATTTTCGTGGCACTTAATTTAGATGCCAACTATTATTCACTATCATTTAAATATGTTTGCACTTACATAATTATTTTGTTATTCAAAAGACCTTCCATTTCTTTATTTTGTTCCCAATTCGTGTGCCGCCATATTCCTTTACCGCACAAATTTGCACTCTTCACCCCTTTTTTGTTCGCTCGAGTGCCTAAGCGGAAGCTGCTGATTGTTGAGGAAATTTAAATTTTCAATTCGAACCCATTGCCCTCATCAGAAATGGTGGTGGAACAACACAGCCATTGCGGCTATGTAGCCAAGCAGTTGGCCAAGAATAGCTTTCCAATACAAACCTTGCTGACCTTTATCGCAAGCTAAGCGTTGTCTTCATCGTTTTTGCTGTTTTTGTTGTTGTCGTTGCAATCACTGCAAATACCAGCAATCTCTCTGTATGTGTGTGTCTGTGTTCGCCTTCAGATACTCGCAGTCAATATTGAAAGTGTTGCATTGAACTATCGGCCCGGACAAGTTGAATACCTTGCGCGTTGGTTTCGTGGCTTGATTGCCAGCAGCTGCTAAAACTTCTTAGCAAGCAGGCAGCAGACGGCAGGCGGCAGGCGGCCACCAAAACAGCAAACAACGTACAGAACAACAACTTTGTTTGCAGTTTGTGTTGTTTATTCATTTCCGTTTCCTTGGCTCTTCAATTGTGGCACATCCGCCGCGCTCCGACAAACTTCGTCTAGTCTTGTGGATTTTCTTCTCGCTTGCGTCTTATCTGCGCATGTTTGTCGATAAGCTTAGACTGGGAAATTCGGTCAGTTTAAATGGTTAAAGTTATTTTGAATGAATCAGCTATTTTAATGGCTATGAAGGAGATTAAATTTGAGTGCTTATGGAGTGGTTGAGAAGGCAGGAGTAGAAGGGTATTGAATGGTTGTTGGAATATTTTAAATTACTCTGCTGGTTGGTTTTTCATTTCTAATGTATACATTAAATTATTTTGAAAGGAAAAGAACACACAATGTCTATGCGTAAATTTTCCTAGTACAGAAGTACTACAGCATCGTGTTACCGGAGACTTACCGCTGTTTTTATAGCCCTGGGCTTACGTATACATAATCTGTATTACATATATTGCAGAGTCTAACCTGGTGGCTCTGAAAAACTGTCAAAGTCGAAGTTAGTAGTCCTCTCATTTCCGGCAGTTGAAGCGACTATCGGCAGTTGGAAGAAAAGCTCACTTAGCAATAACAGACAGGCATTAAGGGCCGGCAGGTAGGCGAAACTCATGTTACCTTCGATCTCAAGTGGTCTACTAGCAAGGTACATGCTGTAATATAATATAGACACATCGGCGTAGCCAGAATGAGAAGAAGAAGAAGAAGATAGATTTCTCCTTCATTTTTGACATCGAAAAATTCAAATTTTTAAATGGAAACAATAATTTGTTTTTATTGGAATTTTAGCATTGCTTACTTAAATGTTATTTCATGTAGCGAAGCTCGGCGGAACCAAACGAAGCTGATGGTGTTCACACTGAACGAAGCGAATCGGAGGTTTTCTGATGGACCCGACTGCAAGGTACCACAAAAATTACCATCAAGGACACGCGGAAACAATATTTGCTCAATTTTATTTAAAAGATTCGTTGTTAAATTCGTTTTTGTTTGAATATTTTGATATCCTTT